TGAGTGAATTTTTATTATACTGATGTTTCAGTGCTTGTGATGTATTGTATTGATAGTCCTAGGTCCATTGGACATGGTTTAGGTGTAACCTTCCTAAGGTTAAATCACAATTAACTCCAAATCATGGTAATCCAGGGCTTAATCCTCAAGAATCACTAAACTGTAGGATTTTATAAAGGAAATTTCTCAAAATCTTTCAAAGGAATCCCAATTTTTGTCAATTCAAATCCCAAACATAATTTAAGAACTCCAAATTAGAGTTTTGAAAACAAAGAAGAAGTTTGAAAATCAATTGGGACCCAAAAAAATGAGTTTTAAAACTCAAAGACAAATTCTGTGTAGAAAAGGACACATGCGCTGCGGCTTACGACTTGTGCGTCGCGGTGCATTGTATGAAATTTGATAGATCAGTGTTGTCATTTGACAACCCGGGAGGTGAACTTCTGATGCATCTTAAATCTCTGTCCGATATTTGATTGAGGTGGTTTTGGTGACTACACGGAGCTTTCTCCTAACTCTAGCTAATGGCACCATTTTTACATTCAAACTCATTTTCTATAAAAAGTTAGACACCAAAACCCATTTTGACCACTTTTTCACAAAATCTCCCAATGAGGTGTCACAATTTAACCACATGTGCCAATAGTTTATACAAACCATCCAACTACACTCAATGGACCCTTACAGACTCATGCAACACACCATACACAATCAAAAACGCTTATCTCATAAAACCATAACTCAACCTCAATTTTCATAAAACATAAAAGGGAAGGAAAAGTTGTACAAAATCAACCATTTCATTCATATGTCTCAAAAATACATATGCTCTTACTTGCACAAGTATTTTAGCCCTATCCATGAGTTCACAACCATAACTCACTAACCCAGGGCACAAAATATACTAGTTATACACAAAGTCATGAAAGTAGTGCACAAATCATAACAATTAATCCTAGTTGGCAAATACTACACATGAAACCTACTAAAGAGAGGCATATAGAAGATTTACTCCACAAATCCTAAGCCTTTGTATGTTTTCCCCAGCTCAGATTTGATGAGCTAGTTCTTGAAAATATTGAGAATTGAGGGGTGAGTACAACCACTCAGTAACCAAGTTTCACTTAACCCTTACAGTTACATATTAATTGTAAATAGATGTAATTTGGCAAATAAACACATATATCATATAACACTAGGCCACGGTTCACAAAACTAACAACCATGTGACCAGGCTTGCCACAAAATATTTTGTCATGTTATTTAGTGAAAACATAACACAGGGCTGCAACAATAACAACCATATGTCCTCAACACATGTCGGACCCTAAAAATAACAACCATGTGGCTAAACTTATATGCTTGATTAGATGCTAACCTTATATCCTCCTTGTTACCTCCTACATGAAACTGATGTTATCATGTGGCTACGTCCTTCACGGACTAACCCAACCTTTCACTTGTAAGGAGCTACCGGGCTAGGGTTAACTCACTCACTTATGTAATTTGGTTTCCCCCAATATTAACAACCATAGGGTATCGTACCCTTAATCTAGCCTCCTCATGAACCGGTGGAGACTAGTTAGGTTTAAGTCCCTCATAGAACAAGTAGGACAGTCCTAAAACAACCATAGGATAAGGGCTATCTCTTGATTCCAATGGTCAGTGCCAAAGCTAGTTCCGATTCCAACGGTCACTGCCAATACCATGTGGATTTTCAACCAATCTACTCTTCTCCCTAGGCGAACTCCCACCAATGATCTTGCTATGCACATTTTACACATAATATACATTTTAACAATCATTTCTGATAGGGGACGTGGAAGCAGAATTGTGCTAGTTTAGGGACAAAACAACTGAAACACAATAAAAACACAAGAATAAAAAGAAAGGGATGAAATTTATGACAAAAAAAATAAAGAAATAAAGGAAATAAACAAGATAATGATCAAGGATAAGATCCTCTAAAGCATCTACCTATAGGAACCTCAACCTTCGAAGACATCACAAGAATTAATCATGTTATTGATCACGTTTGTCTCTCACATGGGATGCCACCACAAAGCACTAAGGCTCACAAGAGTTATGTTAAAATGAATAATTTATATAAGCTCATAGAGAAGACTATTTCCTAAAATTAAAACCTTAATTTCCTAATACTAAAAATGAGAAATAATATAAAATAATGATAAAATTTTCACTACATAATTTAAGAGATGTGATCCTAAAATTATAGGATTACAAAACTTAGAAATTAATAATATAATTAATTTTAATAATTGACTAGACTCAAAATAGGAAACTAAGACTAATCTTGCTTCTTAAGAAAGGGAGTCAAATCAAAGGACCATTAAAATAGGAAATAATTTAGGAGACAATCAAGGGATCATAAAGGATTTAAAATCACGCCACCCTTGAATACTTCACAAGGGTTTCTTGCCTCCTTGCTTGCAAGAGGCTCAACTTGTAGTCTTCCTTGCATTGGGTTAAGGTTTGCATCTCTTAGGCTTGACTCTTCATGAATTTGGATCTTAAGCACATTATACATGTATAGATGCTTTCCTTTGGGCTTGAGAGGAGTGCCTCAATGCTCTCCAAGCTCTTGGACTTCTTGCACAAGACTGAACAAGGCTTGCTTTATGGCTTTAGTTCGGGCTCTTATCATTGGACCTCTAATATGTTGTAATGGGTCTTTAGGTACGTTGGATTAGAAGTATTGGGCTCCTTGCTCCTTATCTTAGGCTCCTTCTATGTCACCATACTCACGATCACCATGCTCAAGCTTCATTGCCATTAATGCCATGTCATTCGTGCCATGGGGTCCATCAATTTCTCAACACATAAACTCATATAACACATATGCTCTATAATTTAACACATAATTCATCACAATTCTCAACCCATAGTAATAAATCACAAGTAATTTCATAAAACATCAAGGGTGGCAGAATTAAGGTTTTCTTTCCTAAAAACCATTTCACAAATCAAGCACTTACCAATATACATCATCAATTTAACTCACAAATCACATTTCACAAACATAATTAACATACAACTATAAAAATTAAGTTTCCCTCGGTTACCTCAAACCTTTAAGAGGTCAAAGGTTTATCCTCACTTTACCAATTTTCCAAAGCTTCAACAAGCTTGAATGGTGCCAAAACAAACCTCTCTACAACCATATCATAAGGATATAATCAATATCTAGCTCTTGAAACTTTATCAACATAAAACTCCACATACACTATTTTTATCAACTCATAATCAATACCCATTCTCACCCAATAGGCTCATTAGATTCCATAAATGCACATTATTATTAATAACACCTCAAACCATCATTAATGCATATTAATCTCTCCCAACTACCTCATAAATATCAATTTTTGAATAACAAATGCTCCCATAGGCCAACCACTTTCAAAATCATCAATGTGGTGTTCCAATACATTAAATAACTCCTATTTAACTTATTTTAACCAATGGAATCAGACCCATACTCCTATGGATTGAAAATCCATCTCCGTACTCAAACCTTACCATAAATCATAACAAATGAGAGAGGAAAAGGAAGAAGAAGGCACCATAATCTTACCATGGGTATTTAGAAGCTTTAATTTATCAATAATAAGACCAAATGTTGTGCCCTAGCAGAGCTAAAACTGAGCTCTTCATTTTCTTCCTCTTTTTCTTCTTTCATGCAGCTCACGAACTGATTTATCTGATTTTTGGCCATGCACTACGGCACATGGCACAGAAGAGCTCGTTACGTTTAAATTGTCTTCACGCACCTCAGCGGACCAACTACATGCCACAGCGTGTGGCACATAAAACAATTCTTTACTTTTAAGTCCTCTTTCCTTGCCCGGGTGGCCCACCTTCAATCCAAACCCACTACTAAGGCTGAAATCACATCAATTATGCCAAGTTAAGCCCCTTTGGCCACACATCTCATTAACTCACTAACTACCTTCATTAGGTTAATAAATTAGGGTTATAATTTTTTGAATTTTACTCCAGGTGTTAGGAAAAGCTTTTGGCACATGTTAAGGGTTTTAGACACCCGTTTGGTGTTAAAGTGGTGAAAAGTAGTTGAAATGTGTTTGAATGTCCAACTTTCTAGTATGACTTGTTTTGTAAGTGAAACTTATGCCATTAGCTAGTTCATGTAAAAAGCTTTCTATAGACACCTAGATTGCATCATTCGGATGTCAGATGAAGATTCGGGGCGAGTTAAAAGTTTCCTCGATTCTACTTCAAATGATAGCAAAATCAGTAGAAATTTCATACAACATGCCATAGCACATGGCACCTGAGCCACGACGTATGGTGCTTAAGCCGCAGTGTGTGGCATAGAGAGCAACATGCCGTGGCACAACATGTATGAGTCATGGCGCATTGCCCTGTATCACAACACATGTTTTGTTTTTAAACTGTTTTTGACTTCTTTCACTCCTCCGAGGTATCCCATTCTTCTGTAACTTATTTTACTCTGATATGAAAGATTTTTATCGATTCAAACTCTTTTTTATTTAGAAAACTTGAGATTCTTTACTTTTCAACTGAACCTTGGTAATCATCTTATTGAGTTAAGTCTTTGATTACCAAGTGTTATATTAGTTAATTATGTATAATAGAGTGAGAATGTTTCAACTTTGCATTAGTTTCTCTAGTTTTGAGAGCTGGTCTGTGGTTTTTATGAGTGAGTGGTTTAGATTTGTTGTGCATTGCATATAGAGAATTGGCAATATCCTATTACACTTGTTATTTCCCTTACCGAGCTAGTGTTAACTCCCTTTTTCCTTTTTAGGATTGCTTCCATCTTTAAGAAGGGAGAATATGGTGTAAACAAGAACCACAAATGTAGGAAATGCACCAGAGAATGTACAAAGACCGGAACAAGAATCAGTAAACTAAGAGCAACAACTAGGACCATAACAAGGTAACAAAGATAATGCCCTGGATGAACTGAGTGTATGATAATGGACATATAGAGGAGAATGGATGGTTATGATGAGATCCTTAGAAGAAGACTTGAGGAGAGTAGTAAAATGGTAGAAAGAGTTGGGGTTGATCAAGAGGAAGCCCGAAATGATGTGCACGCTAAGGTACATGGACATAGAGATGAGGAGTATTATAAGGAAAGTATTCCTAAGAGGCCGATGCAATTGGTACAGCCTAGGACAAGTGAGTCAGAGGCTTCGTAGACGTGGCTTTGAAGCGATTCATGAGGTTGAATCCTCCTTCCTTTAAGGGCTTTATAGAGGATTGACTAGCTGAGAAGTAGATCGACAGGCTTAAGACCATCTTCTCAGTCATGACTTATATGACTAAGCAGAGGGCTCTCTTAAGCACTTTTATGCTTGAGGATGTAGCAAAGCAATGGTGGGAAAGTGTGAGGCTAGTGGATGGCTTGCAGTTGAATTGGATAAAGTTTAAAAGGCGGTTCTTCACCCACTACTTCCCAGCCTCATTTTGAGTAGAGAAAGAGGCAGAATTTCACAAACACCAGTAAGGAAATATGAATGAGGAGGAGTTAATAGCAAAGTTCAATGAGCTATTGAAGTACTTCACCTACTTGAGTCATCACAATGACGAGTATTGAAAGGTTGAGCGGTTTCTTAATAAGATGAGGTTTGAATTTAGCTAGCAGTTAGCTACTTTTTAACATTACTTCCTTCGAGGTTATTGTAACAAGTTCAGAGCTGTAGCCAGAAAGAGTAAAGTGGTAGAAGAGAAGAAGAGAGATGGTCAGGGGAGATTTTCTTCCTACAAAGGCCCATGGGCAGAGTGAGTAAAAAGTCAGGTTTCAACTCGAGTATGTCTGGGAGGTACAGTGCTAGAGGATGCTAGAAGAAGAGCGTTTAGAAAGGGGTCCCAATCTAAGGGATCCAACCAGAGGAGCAATGTCTTAGTATGGGCAGGGTTAGAAATTAGACGTCCCAGCAGGGATCTATAGCTCCATCTACTATGATGCCAGCTAGAGCTCCACAGTGCCATAAATGCAGAAAACATCATTAAGGGCAGTGCTGGATTTGCTTCAAATGCAACAAGGTGGGACTCATAGTCAAGTTTTTCCCAGAGAACATACCTGCTCCTAATTAGAGATTTGATGTCTTAGGGGGAGTCTTCGCCATGACCAGAGAAGAGGGCAAGGCTTCACCAAAGCTGATTAGAGGTATAATCTCACTTATAGTCACCAGATAGATGCTTTGTTTGATTCTGGTGCCACACACTCTTTTATATCTGATGATTATGCTAAGAGACTAAAATTGCAAGTGCTTGAAATGCCATTTTCCATAAATGTGTCTGCACCGGCTAGTGCTTCTATGAGGACCAGTTGGGCTTGTTTGAAACTAGAATTGAAGTTTGGTGATAGAGTTTCTATTATTGACTTAATCTACTTACCTTTGAGTGGCATTGATGTGATAATAAGGATGGATTGGTTGTTTGACAATGGTACAACACTCGACTATAATAGAAAGATAGTTTCCCTACTGGTTTACATAGTGACAGCTGTTAACCTTGAACCTTTCAAGTCATTATCAGTAGTAGACTATGAGACTCGTAAGTTCTTGTCAGCCCTACAAGTAGAGAAGTCAGTGAAAAAGGGTTATCAGGCTTTCATAATCTACTATTCTACACATGAAGTGTGTGATGGGGGAATTGATAGAATTGGTGTAATGAATGAGTTCCCAAAGGTGTTTGATGATCGAATATTAAGATTGCCACTAGAAAGAGAGATTAAATTCTTGATTGATTTAGTATCCGGTATCGAGCTAATTTCTAAGGCTCTATATCGTATGGCTTCTACAGAATTGGAAGAATTGAAAAATTAGTTAAAGAGTTCCTAGAGAAAGGATTCATCTTGCTGAGTATATCACCGTGGGGATCACCTGTGTTGTTTGTAAAGAAGAAAGATGAGAGTATGAGGCTGTGCATTAACTACAGGTAACTCAACAAAGTGACAATTAAGAACAAGTATCCGTTGCCATAGATTGATGACTTGACTAACTTGCTGGAGCTGTAATTTTCTCTAAAATTGTTCTAAGGTCTGGATATCACCAATTGAGGGTTAAGGCAAACGATGTGCCTAAGACTATGTTTAGGACACGATACGGGTACATGAGTTCTTAGTAATACCCTTCGGTCTGACAAATGCTCCTGCAATCTTTATAGACTATATGAACAGGATCTTTAGACCTTATTTAGAAAAATTTGTAGTGGTTTTTATTGATGATATCTTGATATACTCCAGAGATGAGGATGAACATGTAAGGCATTTAAGATAGTGCTACAAGTGTTGAAAGAGCATAAGTTGTATGCCAAACTAAGCAAGTGTGAGTTTTGGCTATGAGAAGTGAAATTTTTAGGACATGTTATTTCTATTGACAGCATAGTAATAGATCTATACAAGGTTGATGCAATACTACAGTGGGAGAGACCAATATCGGTAATCGAGATATCAAGTTTCTTGGGTTTGGCCGGTTATTATTGGAGATTCATCTAAGGGTTCTCTCAGATTGTTTCTTCTTTGATGAACTTGATGAAGAGGGATCAACCGTTTGTCTGGATGGAGAAGTGTGAAGAGGCATTTCAGACTCTAAAGGAGAAGTTGACTACAGCACCAGTATTAACTATTCTAGATCCCAAATGTCCATAAGTGGTTTACACTAATGCATCACTTGAGGGACTAGGGCTATGTGCTAATGCAAGATGATAGAGTTGTAGCTTACAGGTCGAGACAGCTAAGACCACATGAGGAGAGTTATCCAACTTATGACCTTAAGTTAGTAGCGATTGTATTTTCCTTAAAAATATGGAGGCACTATCTCTATAGTTCACAGTTTGAGGTATTTAGTGACCATAAGAGCCTCAAGTATTTAATTGATTAGAAGGATCTGAATATGCGACAGTAAAGGTGGATGGAATTTTAAAAGATTATAATTTTAAATTGAAGTACCATCTGACGAAGGCTAATGTAGTGGCCGATGCTTTGAGTTACAAGACCATACATGTTGTGAGGTTGATGATCCATGAGTATAAGCTAATAGAGGATTTCTCTAGTGAACACCAGAATAGTCTAGATTTTGCCATGTACAAATTGAATACAATGGTAATCACCAATGAATTCTAGAAAGACTTGAGAAAAGCTTAGCTTGAAGACAAGTATCTATTAGGGATTAGAGATGATATTGAGGCAAACAAGATTAAGGACTTTGGTTCAATGATGATGGGTTGGTAGTGTATAGAGATTGGGTATGTGTACCTAATGATAAAAGGGTTCAAGAGACTATTCTAGCTGAAGCTCATCAGAGTAAGTTCACCATTCATCCAGAAACTACCAAGATGTATTAAGACATGAAGAGTCGGTGGTGGTGGCCTGGTATAAAGAGGGATATGATGAAGTACGTATCTCGATATCTGACTTGTCAGAAGGTAAAGATTGAACACCAATGACCTCCAAGATTGCTACAACCATTAGAGATTCTTATGTGGAAATGGGATTGTGTTTCTATGGATTTCATTATGGGATTGCCATGTACCCAAGCGAATCATGATGCTATTTGGGTAATTGTGGATAGATTGACTAAGTCTGCTCATTTCTTAGCAATTAGAGCTAACTATGCTCTAGAGAAGCTTGCAGAGGTCTATATTCAAGAGATTGTGATGTTACATAGAATGCCGAAAGAAATTATGTCAGATTGTGATCTGAGATTCACCTCAAACTTTTAGAAAGCACTGCACGAGCCTATGGGTACAAAATTGAAGTTCAGTATAGCATATCACCCTCAGATTTATGGTCAAACCAAGAAGACAATCTAAACTCTAGAGGATATACTATATGCTTGTGCCATCGAGTGGAGTAGCAGTTGGGATAAGCACCTACCTTTGGCAAAATTCTCTTATAGCAACAGTTTTCATGTGAGCATTCAAATGGCTCTACATGAAGCTTTGCATGATAGAAAGTGTAGATCGCCACTCTATTAGACCGAGTTGAGTGAGAGAAGCATAACAGGTCCTAATTTGATGGATCAAACCATTAAAAAAATTAAGATTATTCGTCAGAAGTTGCTGACTGCTCAGAGTCGATAGAAGAGCTATGCAGATAAGAGGAGGAGACGTTAGAGTTTATAGTTGGAGATCACATATTTCTAAAGGTCATACCTTTGACTAGAATTGTGAGGTCTATTTGTTCAAAGAAATTGACTCCTAAATTTATTAGGCCATTCAAAATTCTTAAGAGAATTAGGCCTTTAGCATACTGGATTGCCCTACCTCCTCATCTATCGGGTGTGCATGATGTATTCCACATGTCTCAATTGAAGAAATATCAACCTAACCCTTCACATGTGATTGAGCCTAAGATATGGAGTTAGATGAGAATTTAACATATTAGGCAGAGCCGGAGAAAATTGTGGATGTTAAGAAGAAACAACTGAGAAACAAGAAAACTTAGCTTGTGAAAGTCACATGGAAAGGGATGACTTCTAGTGATACTACGTGGGAAATCGAAGAGAAGATGAAAAACCAATATCCTCACTTGTTTCAATGAGGTAAGGTTTTACTAGCTTTGCTAAATTAAGTGAATTTTGGAGACAAAATTCCTAAAAGGAGAGGAGAGTTGTAACTTTTTGATTTTTAATCTCCTGATTAATTAAACCTAATTAGGGTAATTAAGTTGGTTGAAGTGGTGTGTGTGGCCAGAGAGGTCTAATAATCATATTTGATGATATTTCAGCCCTAGTTGTGGGTCTGGTATTATGGAAGGCCACCCGAGCATCAAAAAGAGAAGAAAAGGAAGAGTTAATGCTGTTGTGCCACACGCCGTGACATGGAAATCGTCTGCCACGGTACACAAATATTTCTAAGCAAGGGGGGACCTCCATGTGCCATGCGCTACTATGCATGGCCATTTTTTTGCAATTTATTAGAAGTGAAATGAGACAGAAATAGAGAAAAAGAAAAGAGGAAAATGGAGAGACGTGCTAATGCTCAGCTAAGGCACAACTTAGATGAGAATTTGAGAAGGTTTGAAGCTCTAAATCATCCAAGGTAAGATTTCTAAGCCTCTTCCTCCTTTCCCCTTCCATTTTCTCAAGGATTTGAGTTAGGGTTTAGATGAGGATGGTAATTTTAGTCCATATAGGGTATTGGTCTAAATTTATTGACTCAAATGGAGTTAATGGGAGTAGATTAGAGTATTTAAACATAGGTATAATGAGTTTTGGTATCTTGGGTTATTAGGCACCATTAATATTCAAAAATCTCATTTATTATAGTGGTTAGAAGTTTATAATGCCGTTAATGGGGATTTAATGGCTCATTAATGCTATTGGGGGGCTAAAGGTAATTATTAAACCCAATGGATAGGCTCCAACTCATGTGGAGTAAATGTTAGGCAATTTAGAAGTAGAGATTGAGGGTTCAAATGCTTGAGTTAGTTATGTTGATAAAATTCAACTTGGTTGATTGTATTATTGGCTCTTGGGTCACCTATTGGATTGGAAATTCAAGCTTGAAAGCAAGTTGATTGAGGGGTAAATCTTTGACCTGTCAAAGGTTTTAGGTAATAAGGGAAACCCTACTTTAGGCAGTTATATGTTAATTGATTGTTAATTATGAATTGTGAATGTTACATGTATGGGATTGATTTTTAATGTAAAACCATATATTAGCTTTAATGAGAGTATGAAAATTTGTATGTGCGTAATGCTATTTTTAGTTTGAAAATGCAAAATGTGATGTTGTGTAGAAGTAATTATGTGTTCATGAGAAGTAAATTTTGAGGTAGGTGAGAATAATGTTGAGAAGATGATGAGAGTACACACTTGGGTAGTACATGGTTATGAGCCCAACGTGATTTTTGTGATAATGAGTAAAAATGTTAAAATAAGTGAGTATTGATTATGGCATGATCAATGGCAGTAATTCGTCTCAGGATTTGGAGTAGAGAAAAATTTATATGGTATTTAGGCTGCCCTCTAGTGGACGGGGGTATAGCCTTGTCCCACAGTTTGTCGAGGGACTGTCCCATAGTTTTTCGAGGGATTAAAACCTAGCTATCTCCACCGGTTCAATGAGGAGAATAGCCTAGGGTATGAGACACCCTAGAGATTCGAGAATGAGGGAAGTCATGGTCCGAGAGTGGGTCCTGTGATCTTTGGCTGGGTCACACCTCACGATTGGTGAGCTTGGGTAGTCCAGTCACACAGACGGAGCCTTATTCAGTGTTATAGCTCGCAGTTTTGGTCTGAGGAAGTAAGGAAGAAATAAGGTTGGTTGATCATTGCCTAAGCAAATATATGACGTGTCACACGTGTTAAGTGGCGGTAAGTCGCATGAATAATAGGTCATGTCACATATTTAAGCATATGGTGACAACACACCTAGTTTATGAGAGTTAAGGAAGTTATTTAATGATAAATGACAAGATATGATATATGCCAGGATGTTTTACATACTTGATTTCCTTGTGCATGTATTTGGTTTATAATTGATATATAACTGAATAAGGTAAGTTGAACCTTAGTTACTGAGTGGCTAGACTTACCCTTTTCATTCAACATTTTTCAGGCTCTAGCTCTGGTGTTCAGAGGGAGAAGGCTAAAGAGGTGAGGAATTAACATATTCCTGCTGTATGCCTCTAGTTTAGATTAAATTGGGTAATAGTATATGATTTGCTAATTTTAGGATGCATGCCATCATACTTGCACTACTTTGATGTTGGAAATGTTAGTTTTGTATTTTGGGCCCTTAGTTTCTATGTATGTTGATATATATATATATATATATATGTTTATAAGGCCAAAATACTAGTGTAAGTGTGATTTGATCA